CATCCCAGGCTTTGGCTTCATCGCAACATCAGCCTTCTCCTAGAGAAGCATGGACTGTCACCCATATAATATATATATATGCCAATATCAACAAAAACCGACTTCCGCAAACCAGCATTATCTTGGGTCCTTGTTGTCAGCTCGAGGAAAGTGCAGAAGGTCTACCATATGAGCACTTTGCATCCATTCTAGGAGGATACCATTGATCAAGTCTTGAGATGATCCCGTCGGCTTCACGTGCCACTTCTTACATGCTTTCTTCAGCTCTGTCCTGAGTTCCAGGTCATCCGCTATGCTATCTACATGATTTGAAGAATGGAGGAGGCAACATACACATATATATATATGTATATCTATGTTTTCTCTGGTGTGCATTTGAGCATCAAGGAGAGTTGTTTCAGTTTTTCTTCTTCGCCTGCTACACCCGAGCGATATAGATCCACCATCATGGCGCTTAGTAGCACAGTATCAGATTGGCTCGGGACACTGTACTCGATCACTCTTCCGCCGTTGAACATGTGCTTGCAGCCAGTTGCCTCTACAGTCAACTGCGGGAAGAACTTCCTCACCTGCGCCAACAATTCCCATGTCATGCATCAATAGCTGTACAAACCCAACAGGATGCACTTTGATTCTACAGGGCCTGCTCAACATCGCAACCAATGTCGGTGTGAAGGGAAGGGTTCCATATGAACCTGAAATGGCTTGCCGCAGCTCCAGCGCCATCACAGACACATTCCTCGGAAACGCGCGCGGGAATATTTGTATGCCATGCATGTGCAAACAGAGGCGTGGGTGCCTCAGAAATGTGTAGTCGTGACATAGGACATACATATATATATATATATATCTTGCGAAGCTTCATTCGACAACGTCCAGACGTGCTTTGAATGAAGTGCCCCTTCACTTTGCAGCATGCTGCCCGACCTCCCGACAATGTCCAGCTTCAAGTTCAGCCAGAGAAGGACATCATTGATATCAGATTCCATCGGCTGCTGGAAGCTGTAGAATCTTTCAAACACGCTGCACCATCGCGCTGCTATCCTGATACACTGGCCGCCAAACCCATCTTGGAGTTCAGGCATTTACCACAAACACTCGTCCCAGGTCATCCTACCCCCAACAAACACGAGGTATTGCAAGCATATATATATATATATCTTGTTTATCAACTTGATGAAACCAGTGCCATGGCTCTCTGGGTCTTCATGGTTCATCTGAGGGGCCAACAGGCTTGCAACAAAGTTCAAGACCAAGGCCTGTTCCTTCTTCTGGCGGTCTCCGGCAGGAAAGCCCTGCTCATTTCTTGGATACCACAACCACTCGTGTTTGCTCTTGGGGTTTGCAAACAAGAGGTACAAACAACTCCAGAAACATCTCCCATCTGCCATCGGATTGATGACATAGAGCGTAGCCTGCGGTTCCTGCGTATTGAGTTCATGCACATATCGGTGGGGCTCAATAAAAAAACAGTCAGTGCAAGGGTATGACTTAGGACTTTTGCGCATCTCTCTAAAGATTGAAGGATAGGAAGGAACAACCTTTATATTATTGTTCATGTGTTGCGGCCAAATGCCTCAAGTAATACTTGCGGAAAAAAAAAGCAGATCAGCCCCACCTTGTACAGCACCATTTGACCACCTGAATCCTCACCATGTTGGGCCTGCCAAAGGTGTTTGCAGGCGTTTGCTGGTTTTGCTCTTGGATCTGAAATCTGTATGTAAATATGCACAATGTTTGCCTCATAGTTGACTCTGAGTCAAAACTTATGAGAAGGATTTATATATATATATATTGCCGCCTGCTCCGCTGCTGCTTCCGGCTTCTGGGAATCATTGTCCAGTCCTGGCTCCTGTGCAATCTCTGTGTCCAAAGGTGATTCGAACTGAAATCTCACAGGTGCACTGTGACTTAGGACTTAGGAGTGCATAGCCCTAAGGGCCTTCTTGAATAACAAAAGGGCCTTCTTCACTTTCTTAAACTCTCCATCCTTCTCTTTGCCCTAACAAAAAAGTCAAAGCACAGTCCCCATGAATTTGGGCCATGGGCCAACAAACGAATATGAACATCTGCCTTCCCAACCGCTGCATCCAGCTTTTTGGTATTCTTGCCATTGTTCTCCTGCACAATATCTGTGTCCAAAGGTGTTGAGTTCATGACTTAGGACTTGCTACTTTTGTTCATGCCAAAGGTGAACAATGAAACCTGCTCTCTCACAAGTACATACTGGAAAAAAGAAGTCCACGTGCAGGGTTCTTATGCTTGCATCTTTCTTGCCAAACACTCAAGGAATGGGCTGCCTCCTCTGCCGCTGTTTCCAGCTTTTTGGACTTCTTAGCCTGCACACACAATATCTGTGTCCAAAGGCGTTGAGTTCATTTGTCTGGGGTCCGTCAATTTACTCGAAAAATACACCCAACCGCGCGTAAACAATGGCTGTGAGAGAGTTGTTTCCGCGCTCGTGGTGGGAAAGTGAATCAGTGAACACCCTTTGGGGGTTGTAGTTAAGGTCCACACCACGCAGGTAACCAAGCATGAGACCTGACTTCATGACTTAGGACGTGTTACTTATGTTCATGTCAAAGGTGAAGA